AATATTGGTGATGTTTGACTGGGTTTCTCTCACTGGTTTGCCTTCTTGAACATTAGCTATCATTGATACATTCTCTATGATGGGCATAAAAATTCAAAGAAACTCAACCTAGCAAGAAGAAAGAATCATTCAGGGGGAAAAAAATCACCCTCAAGTGTAAAACGTTATGAATTCTAAAACGATTACTAATAACCAAAATGTCTGACTTTCTCTTTATGCAAATATTATTAAAACCATGCATATGCAAATAAAGATGCTTCTTATGACAGAGACTGAAGACATAGGAACTGTGGTTATAACTCTGTATACATTCAAACCCAGGGAAACTGATATGCCAGCAAAATGAACTACAATCAGGGATGGCTCTCTACTATTCCGTCATCTTGATACCCAGTAGGTGATACAGCATTCTGGGACATGTGAGAATGTGGCGAGGAATTACCAAGAGATAGGAAGATCTCATTCCAGGAATATGATTTTATATCACTCAGGATTTAAAATTCTATAGGCAGAAACAAGACCAAGCACAGGAGAAATTATGTAGCAGCACAATTATTTATGAGACGAAAACTCCTGCACACTGTACAGACCACGGACAAGATTATCTTTTTAGGCCTTAGATCCTGGAGATCAATGCTGTTATTTGGGAAAGTTTTCATTGCAGAAGAAAACTGTTTCTGTCTATTATTTTTTGGGGGAAAGAAACTACCAAATCCAAATTAGATGTTCAATTCAGAAGCTGTTTGAGGAAACCTACTCATTCTTTAGGGCAGTGATGTTTAAAATGATGTTCGCATGTCTGTTAAAAAGTAGCATTTGCCCTAAATTTTTCAGAGTCACAAATTGTACCATGTGTCAAAGTTAACATAGAATATGGTCATGCACTATTTCCTTTTGGAGCCTGAATCCCAATAACAGCTAAAGTAACAGGAATCCATAACTATGGATTAATAAAGTGTCTTATTCTCATATGGTTCATTAGAATTTTGCTTAGAAGAAATAAGGATGATCAATATTTCTGAAATCTACTTCCTTTCAAAAGACATACTGTAGAAATGAGCTATAATTTGTTCAATCCATTGCCAAATAATTAAAATGTCCAAGCCTCCCCCAAGCTTAGTCCAAAGGTGCTTGAGTTGTTGCCAGATCTCTGCTAACTGAACTGATCTGTAGTTTACCCCTGACTTGTGATTTGGAAATGTGAGATGCACCACCTGGAAAGGATGGAGTGAGGACTGTGTGCTTCATTCTCCAGCTCTTCCAGAGCTCCTTCCAAAAGAAGGGAGCATTCCAAATGGCCAATGCATGAGCTGAGAGGCCAGGCGCCAAAGGCAGAGAGAAGGAGGCTGTAGGAGTTTTGCTAGATTAAGACAAGTATCTTAAATCAGAACTATGTTGCTGAGCACCTAGGTTTTTAAATTCTGCATTGTCTCTAGAAGTATTTCCTGTTAGGAACTGACCAATCTGGACCACAGGGTTGACTTTTGCCACTTTTATATTCCTTTTTATTTAACAAGTCAATGTATTTCCCTTCCAAATAATAGAAATGATCAGCGTTTAACTTCTTATTTGTATGATGATAGGACAGTAACACCACCAATATTATCATGAGATATCTTACTTGGTCTTTTCAACAAGGGCAAGAGAACAAGGGCAGATTTTATTACTGACCTGTGATCAAGGGGAAAGTTGAGATAAAGGACTCGCAAGACTACATGTGGAGGCCACGTGGCTGACGTGTGACTGGAGCCAGCTAGCAAAGCTCCCCCCAGGACTCTCCTGTAGAAACCAGACAGCCTCTCTCTGGCTGCCTCGTGCTAAAATACATGCATGCTCAGTCTTCACTTTGGTGTAAAAATAAAAAAAACTGATATCTAGAACGCAGAAGTACAGCTGCTATTTCCTATATTATGTTTCAGTTTATAATGTGTCAAAACTGAAGATGGTGTCATGAGACCACATATGGTCCCCTTCCTAGGATGCCCAGAACAGGCAAATCCATAGAGACAGAAGAGTGTTGCCTAAGATTGGGGGTTTGGGGTAGGAATGGGGAGACTGCTAATGGGCATGAGGTTTCTTTTTGGGGTGGTGAAATGTTCTAAAACTGACTGTGGTAATGGATGAAATCCTCTATGAATATACGAAAAACCATTGACTTGTGCAGTTGTATAGTATGTGAATTATGTCTCAATAATGCTATTATTTTAAATATAAGGGATTGATTGAGGATATTTGTGGAAATAAGAACCAAAATCACAACCAAATGATAGATTTAAAGTAAGCAGCGTTATGTACTTTTATAATTCTAAAGGCTTTCAACACACCTGAGTGCACTGGCCTTCGAGTCTAAAACCCAGATGTGATGACCAGTTAACCACACACACAAACCAAACACAAAAAGCTGAAGTTTGTTTTCAGTTAAAATGAAAGATTCTATTTTTAAAAGGATTAGCAAATGGTTATTTTTATTTACCATCTCAGTGTTGTTTCCATTTCACACTAAAGGCAAAAATACCAGCCACCTCCTTAGTGTGAGATCTGAAATCAAGTTGCAAATCTTGACTAAAATATGAGCTGTACTTTTTCTCTTGTCAATAATGGCACTGCCTAATCAATTTAATTTAATTTTCCCCACTTTATTAAGATATAATTAGCAAAATTGAATTTGCTTAAAGTATACAATGTGATGGTTATATACATGCATATGTATAGATATACACATACATTTGGAAATGAGTACCCTGACCAGTTTACTTAAAATAAATTTTAAGAATTAAAAAGTTTCTTTTTTTCATGGTGCTTAATATGTACTCTCTTAGGAAATTTTACATATACGATACAGTATTATTAATTGTAATCTCTCTCCTATACAGTAGATTACCCAGCTTGCATCCACCAATGCACAGACGGTTCATCCTGAGACCGAGAGTTCCAGCCGCCCTTGCTGATGAGCTCCCGAAGGGGCTGGAGGTGTCTACACAGCCCCACTTTGCACACCCTTCAGCTACTTTGAGTGCTGGCTTTTTAACGCTCGCAGCTGCACTCATGTGAATCCTGCTGCTCAGACAGGTCTACCTCCTGTAGCCTGTGGGGAGGCTGCCTTGGCAGGGTGAGCTCTTGCCCCCCCTCCCCCCTCCCACCCACTGAGATCTGTGTGATTACACTGGCCCACCCACATAATCCAGAACTATCTCCATGTTTTAAATTGGATCACCTGCTGTAAGGAAGGTGATCCACACCTGGAAGGTTGAACTGTTGAAATGCCCCAAGAACAACCAAGCACAGTCAGAACAGAGAGCATGCCTTTATTCGGGGCATGGAAGCAGCTGCAGAGTCTTCAGGGCACCTTCTTATAGGGCTCTGGACCGAAGCCGGCGCAGTGCCAGCGGGCATATGTTTAGTCATGTGCAGTCTAGCAAGATAACATGATCTGGAATCACTCCTCTCCAGATATCCTGTGTGAGGTGCCTGACAGACACCATGTTCTTGTCCACTTTGCCCACACCTGCCTTTGTTAGTATGCATTCTGTTCCAGGAGTGTCCTGACCTCACATCCTCCCGTGACAAACTGAATATGTATCTATAAATGGAAACATTCCTTCTGAAAGAAATCCAGACACTTGCTAGTGACTTCTGCAGGTCGGATGAATACGAACATACCCACATCCAATGGGGATCAGTGCGGAGGGAGCAAACCCAATCAGCCACGATATGCAGTGGCATATTACTCAGCCATGAAAAAGAGAGAAACCCTGCTATTTGCAAACATATGGATGGATCTTGAAAGTAACAAGCTAAATGGAATAGGCCAGGCAGATATAGACAAATACGGTGTAGTATCACTTACTTGTGGATGATGAAGGGGAAAGAAAGTTACTCATTGAAGAAAGGGGCTGGGGTGGGGGATCAGGTTGGGGAAGGGTACAGACCTTCAGCTGTAAGATAAATAAGGTCTGTGACTCTAAGGTAAAAATGGTGACTATCGTTGATAACTGTATTATATACTGCAAAGTTGCTAAAAGAGCAGAACTTAAATGTTCTCACATGTGAGATAATAGATATGCTGATTAACTAAATGGGGGGATTTTTTTCACAATCCCTGTGTCTATCAAATCACTATAATGTACACTTTAAATATTTTACAAGTTTATATGTAATTTATTCTTCAATAAAGCTAAAATTGAAATAAACTTTAGTCACAATTCTGCATATGAGATTTCCAGAATTTATTTATCTTATAAATGAATGGTCGTATCCTTTGAAGAACAGTTACTCTTTTCCCTGAACCCCAAACCCTTGTAACTACCATTGGATTCTCTCTTTCTATGACTTTGTCCTGTTTTTTTTTTAGGCTCTATATAAGTAAAACCATATTTTTTCCTCTGCCTTATTTCACTTCGCGTAATGCCCTTCAATTCTATCCATGCTGTCACAAGTGGCAGTATTACCTTGTTTTTCAAGGCTGAGTAGTATCTCGCCGTGTGTATATACTCACTCACCCATTCACGGGCACTTAGGTGGTTTCCATGTCTTGGCCATCGTGAATGACGCTGCAGTGAGCGTGCGGGGTGCAGAGATCTCTCGGAAATGCCCATGGTATTTCCTTGGATATATACCAAAAGTGGGATTGCTGGGGTGCATGCATTTCTATTTGTGGCTTTCTGAGGATGCCCCACACTGCTTTCCACACTGGCTGTGCCAGCTGACACTCCCACCTGCAGTGTATGAGTCCTCCACGTCCTCGCCAGCACTGGTCACTGCTTGTCTTTGGATATCAGTTAAAACAGAAGACAGTCAACATGGATTCAGAGCTTGTTTGCTGTAATGACCTCATTTCTTAACTTTTCCACCATCCACATGGAAGGGGTACAAAAGTTTACTGAGACCCTCTGAGGGCCTCCAGCCCCAGCTGAGAATTAAATTGACGTAACTCGTGTTAACCTGAGAAAAGCATGCAGACTCATTTCATCAATGTTTTCCTATCCATTTTAGGTAACGCAGGAGCCTTATGAGGAAATGTAGGCCAAAGAAGTACTAAACCCAATGATTTACGCTGGGAACAGGAGGGGTGTCGTGGGAAAGTCACGTGAGGACACTAAGGAGGTAAAAGTTCCTTTAATAAGGTCTGTTTGTACAGATTTCTCTCTGCCGTGATTCCCCATCTCTGCTGACAAGAGCATTTCTTTCCTCTGGTATACGGAGGGCACCTTTCACATGTTCAGTTCTGGCAGAAAAGGGGGGGGGTCAGCCTTCTCTCACTTGCTATTTTCCAGGAGCTTTTCATGCAAAATAACCAGTCCAAAGTGGCACATTTAGAAGTGGCATATTCTGCTACCCTTCCCACATACACAGTGAAAATTTTTAGTTTGCCAACTTGTAGATAAATTGGAATATCAGTAGAAGATACAAAGGATGTGTTTATAGTAACTTATAGAACATGCATTAACTTACTTAACAGTACATCATCTGTACTTTATAGCCTGCTTTTTCTATCAGTGAATCATTCACTCAGAAGGAAAGGGAAGAAAATAAGCGAGAAGCTTTATGTAGAGATTGTGACCTCAGGCGGGAGGGTGCTAGGAAGTCAGGAGAGTGAAATCGTTCTGAGGGGGGAGAAACCGACACCAGCTGCATGTGTCAGTAAGCTGAGAGTCTGTGGCCCGTTGGAAACTATTTTGTGATATGTGAGCACCTGAACTTTGGATTCCAGAATCAGTTGCATGAAAGATCAGTGGATAAAATAGAAGATGAGAACTGCATAGTTAGGCTGAATTGTACGCTTTCTCTTAAAATGACAAACTGGGTTCAGTGATAATGAAATCTATTTTTATTGTTTGTATTTTTTGTTTGTTTCACTTCCTCACTAATTTGAGTGTTGGGTCTCTACAGATGTAGCATAAAGAATCGATTGGCTTTTTGTACCTGACTAAAACGTGTAACTTTGTGAAACCACAAACGGGCAGCTAGTTCTTTGTTGGGGTATTTTTGTCTTGTTTTGTTTGTTTGTTTTTGGTATTGTAATTCCAAAGGTTTCCAAATCTTAGGAAACCCTAACACATCTGAGTATATATCACATCCTATGCCAATTATACAGCGGCAACTGGGAAGCAAGGAGAAGTAGCGACCAGAACTGACAAGGTCCCCATGATGTGTCTGAAACGTTGCTCCTTGACTGGTGAAACATCCCAAGGGAGAAAGATCATAAAAGGGATGAAAGGCAATTCCACATATATTCACAGGCCCTAAATGTGGGTACATTACAGCACATCTTAAAATATGATCTCAGAAAAACCAGGCCATCCATTAAAAAATTAACCATTTCTCTCACTATTCAGAAGATTGTTGTATTAAAAAAAACATAAAAACTTGAGGGAGTTTTATGGGTCCTCTAGTATTAAATATAAATGAATTAGGACCTTGGAGTGAGTGGTATCTCAGCAACAGGGAATCATTCTTGTGGTTACCTGGTATATCACTTTTACAAGCGTATTTTTATTTAGTTGTATTTCTTGACCTTATCTTTAACATTTATTGGACTAGATCGTTATTTTTAACAGCTCTGCAAAGACAGAAACCAAGTAGAGTTTTATGCTTTGAAAGTTATTTTGCTCAAGCAGCTTTACGTCTGTCAGAAAGTGAAATTTCTTACACTGAAATCCCATGATGAAAATTGTCTCGCTGACACTCTTGAATTAATGTAAGGAAAATCTATACACACTCAAAATAATTTAAATAACCATTATCTGTAGTATTTTTTAGACTTCAAAATGAGAATTACAATGCATTCTCTATACCCACTTCTTTGGATGTGGTAGAGATTAGTTCAACCTTTTAAGTAAGGCTATATCAAATATTTTAGGAGCTGGGATATCAGACATACACATAATATTATTAGGTAAAAATGTATTAAGTCACTGGGATGTGGTAGGATTTTGGCTTGGTGTTATGTTTTCTATAAATTACTTCAATGCTGAAAGTAGCAATAATCCGCTTATAAATGTTAGCTTACAGGCCTCTTGAAAATTATTCCAACCACGTGTCAAATTCCCTATCCTTTAGCCAATTTCTTTAATGTCAAAAAACATTCCAGAACATTCACCTTCAGCTGAATTGTTTGATTAATAAGACATTAGAAGACCTTTGTTTCTCTCTACAAAGGTATGGTTTGAAAGTGGTGTCAGTCTTCCATCTGTATTTATGGGAAATTCATTTCTGAGATGGGCTGATTCAAGCAACTTTGTGTGTTCAGCTTAATGAACTAATAGAATGCCTTAGTTATGTTATTTCCCATTATGTGACCTTGTCAAGTAGGCGGCATATATCCCCAAGCCAGTCCAAAGCACAATCAGTTTCTATTCAATTCTAGTAATCCACGTGTTATTTATTAGGATTGGGACTGATCCTGTCTCCTCAAAGTAGCTTATATAAATTTCTGAACTGTTATTTAGGGAGAGGAAGGGATGCCCACATGGTACATTCTTGGAGGTCTTTGATTTGTAGAGTGGGAACAGAGCTACCTGTAAAACTCAGCCGATACATTTTCTAAATACCCATTTAGAGTCAGCATCATGAAATAAATCATTCAACTCACTATGTTGCTAAGTTACAGAGAAAATGAGGGACTAAAGAATGGCAGGCAATAAACATAAAAATATTTTTAAAGCCTCTAATGAAAATAAGAGCCAGTCTGAATGCTGAAAAGGGTGTAAGGTTTAGAATGGTGCAGTTTGCCGATGCGAAGTTGATAGAGAAAAAGGAATTTAACAAAGAACGATACAAGTAATCAAGGCAGGAAAAAAGTCCACTTTAGAAAGAGACGCCTGTGGACAATAAGGACAGTTAGCTGGACTCACGGTAACTAACAGCCTGGTGGTGAGGACCTTGACCTCTCCCAGTTTTGTGTTCTGAACCACAACAGGAAACTTCGTTCATTTGAATGATATATGTGAATGCTTTGATGCTCAATTCATTATTTTTTAATGAGCATCAGGCTACAGATCCATAACAAGTCAATAACCCAATTCTAAGTCTACTTTAAGTTTCCCTTTGTCCATGCAACTCAATGGATTTGCTCATGAGCCCCAGCTCCTGTTTAGACATCAAGAAGGGCACATGTAAGTAATTTTCTCTCATAATTTTGTGAGGCCAGAGAAAATAGGAGATGCTGTGTAGCTTCTTAGAAGTGAGCCGTGCATTGACTATTCATCATTATTTACTGATTTATTCATCAGTTACTCATTGATTACTTTTTCAGTGTTCATTACTTCCTAAAAATTTGAGGGGATAGCTTACTATGAAAGCTAAAGATACAGAACAAAACACCAAGGATTTAAAAAATAATAGTAACATAAAGCACAATGGAGAGAAACACCCTCTTTTTTAGGTTTCCTAAAAACTGAAGATCTCTATAGCTTTAAGCATAAAACTTCCCTTTGTGAAGTCGTGACACTAAAGTTCTAAAACCACCAGGCTCCCTGTGGAATCCTTATCCCATTAGGCAAGGCTTTCCCAGGGCCGCCCCCACCGACAGCCCTGTGTCTTTGGGGGATTCCTCCTGTAGCTGCACCTGCATGCAGGCCCTCCGCGCCAGCGCCCCCAGCTGCTGACCTCGTGCTTCCGCGGGCGCCCTGTCTCTGACCAGCTGACTCCTCCGCATGAAGGGGGCACCCTTCTTCCTTTCCATCGACTGAGGACTTTCTGCCTTACAGAATTCTGGGCTAATGATTTTCCCTCTCTATGTTCTTCCTAATTGTCCTAGTAAGAATGAATGGTTTTCATGTCTGTACTTCCATGACCATTACATGTTTACAAATCTCTTAGAGCTCTTACAGCTTATATCATATTACTATGCTCTTGGTTGCTAATCTGTTTTTAGTATCTCAATGAAAAAGATTTGAATTGTCAGCAAATATTTGGAATGAATTGGTAAGATTGTGCAAAAAATGTCAGAGATGATAACTAAAACCTGTTTTCTGATAACTGTATTTTTTTCAGTTTCCCTTATGCTTCCTTGGAGTTATTTGATAGAGACATACCCACACAGTTTACGTTTTTGACAAGTGATTTAATATATGACCAAGTAAACATCTAAATAAGTTTCAGTGCTGTTATCTCTATTGGTTAGCTTGCTGAATTGAAGAAGGTCAAACATCAAGATTTATTATTCTAAGTCTGAAATATTTAAGGGAAGACGTAAGTACTTAAATAAAACAAGTAGGAGAAAATAACACAATATAATACAAGGATGGCAGATACTGTAAAACAAATAAAAACACATACACACAGTCAACACAACTTTATATCCAGTAGAACCAAATGGGTTACTTTAATCAAACAAACAAGTAAAGAATGAAAGAACATGTCTTGAAAACAGGAAGCACTCCCTGGGATGAAAGCAAGTGTTTTTCTCTTAAAAAATTGTAAAAACCTTCCTCCCAAAATGCAGCAGGGTGTCTGTGTCACAATCCCCGGGTCTTTTGTTCTGACGATGACAGCCGAATCTAATTAACCTCTTGTCCAGGAAGCGGTTTAACAATGGAGACATTTTAATGTAGCAAGTATTTGGCTACCAAACACTTACTTTGGTATTAAAAATGAACAAACTTTTATTTCAGATCAGTAAGTACACACTGGCATCTGAGGATCGATTTTAAGGTTCTTATGACCTCTTAGTTTCTGTGTAAAATCTGAACATTTAACTACTTGTATAAAATCTAAACAATTAACTAGCTGTATAAAATCTGAACATCAAACTTTCCAGTTACAATAAGATTATATGATTTACACCCCTTGATTTCCTTTCTCCCTCTTTTCCAGATTTCTGACGGAGGCCCTGTATTTGAATCTTATTAATTCCCTCCTTCTTTGTTATCCCTAATTATAGAGTTGTCAATCTCAAAACCCACAAAAGAAGGAAATTTGAAAACATTCTGAATCTGTATTATACTATTGAATTCATGTGGGTTTTTTTATATAGCTAGAGGGAGACAGCTTTAAATGAACTTTTCACAGGGAAAAAAAATAGGTGAGTGTTTAACATAAAAAAAGGGAATTGACAGATATGTAATTATTTTAGTGTCTCCACTTTGTTTCTTTCTTCGCCGTTGTCAGCTGCCTTCTCTTTTGATTCACCAACATACCCCCCGAAAGTTATTCCTTTTAGCATTCTTTTGCTGTGTGTGCAAAGCAGACGATGAACAGACACCCCCTTGGGTCTCCTCTTCAGGTGAAGCCCACAGGGCTGAGCTCCAGGAGCTTAGAGGTGGAAGTCATCAGAAATCTGGCGGATTTGATCCACAGCAATAGACTCAAAAGTAGCACATGTAAGAACTGCCTTGTAATGACCAGTTTTCAACATGAAACTACTCATGTGTGTGCAATGGAGGATCCACTGAAAAACCAACTAAATGCTTTTAATTAGAAGGGAACCAAAGGTGTATGTCACTTGGATGGCCAGACATGAGTTTCACTCATGTAAGCAGGTTGACACTATTGTAATCCTATTACCCTGGCATCAATAACAGTCATGATTCAGGTGAGGGGAACACAAGGACAGATGTGACATGCAGAAAGCGTTTTACCAAACGAAAGGGAAAACACAGGAGGACAGGATTGAAATCCAGCCGGGGAATCACGCCTGTTTGACTAACTGTGACCTCTTACCTCTGTGTATGGTAACTGTTTCTTTAACCTGAACCTACAGAGGTGTCATTGAAATCCAAAAGGTCTTATAAAATATATGCATGTTTCTAACATTTAGAAGGCTTTCCCTTCATGTCAGGGTGATGTCCCAAAATATGTTTTGGAATCTCATTGTCAAAAATGTACTTATTCTTCACCCAAAATTTCTAAAATGGAAATGTCGAAGCAGAATACAAACTTATTATATATTAAACTATTTATTTTTGAAACTAAATTATTTATACATTTTCAAATAAATAAAAGTATGTAAAATTAATTGTACATAATGCTAAATTATGACTTACTTGTGACACTGAATTATATTACCACACTATTAGAAACTGTATGTGGGATCCACTGTATAAAAAAGGAAGGAATTATGGACCAGAGAATTGCTTTAGGAAGATTGCCATTTATATCTAAAGAATCTGTACCTGATGTCCTTGATTCTGACACTGCCACGCATCCTGTGAACGTGTATTGGTACATATGTTCGGAGGCGAATTACCTTCCTAAAATCCTGTCTGGTTGACTGGATGAGCATTAGTTATATATTGGCTGAAATTGGCCAACAACTGTTTCCTCATTGTAGGAGAAGGAAATAGTACATCATCTAAAAATATATGTCATGACATATTATTTAATTCATTATAATGACTGCAACTTCTAAATTCAGAACATGAACTGATTCCTTTAGCATAAAAATTGTAACACTGTCAGATATTCTGAGCGCAGACGGGCTCAATCTGTGGGAAGCCAGCATTTGGCTTACTTCAGGGAAATACTCCCCTTTCCTACATGGGAGTTATGGTCATTTATTTTATCCCATCCCAGTTTTCAAGGTTGATGAATTCCCTTCCCTTCTTACACTCTAATTATTTTTAAATATGCAAAGTCGAGTTTAAAATCAAGGGCTGCTTGAGTCTTCGACCCTTTGACCTCCACGCACTCTCTCAGGATGTGGGAAGTGATGTATCACAGTGCATGGAAGGTGGGTTTTCTTCCAGAAGGAACTGGAATGAATGTCAGATTTATTTAAGGGAAAAAATATTATTGATACTTCATGCAAATCTCTTCTTCTCTTCCCCAAATGCAAATTAGTTTAATATTTGGTAGCAACTGACAGTAAATGGCCCATGGCTGCGGGTCTGGTGGTAATGTTGAAGTGTGTTCTTTCTTCTGTGATGAATAGTTCAGTCAATCAAGCGATCAACAAATATATGTAATTAATAAAACTGTGTTTATCTCTTGCAGCTTTAGAATTCCGACCTTATTATACTGTGGGTAAGACTCGATGTTAGATGCTCTGAGGGTTCCAAAGCTCTCTTTGTTAAGCATGAAGAGAAAAAAAAAAATCCGAAGAACTCACTTTAAAGATCCTACAGTAATTACAGCTGGGTTGTCTGAATCATTGTTCAAAACCATTCCATCCCATCCTCCTTCCCTTCATGGAGAAATGCATATCCCTTCTACCTGCCTTTGGGCTCACGGTAGAAATGATCTAGGCAAGATTCTCAGTGGCCGTGACGCCAGCAGGGACCCGAGATGCGTACCCCGTGGGTGCATGTGCACCCTTTTGCCTCGTCAAGCCCGAGCTGGGAACCATCACCCCGCTAGTGGCGTGCCCGAGGCAGCCGAGTAACAAGGGGCGAGCCGACCTCACCAATGCAGTCCTACAGCTCGAAACAGAGCTGCCCGGAGCCCCAGCCCAGCCCAGGCAGCCACTGGCTGCTGCACAGCTGAGCTGGTGAACCCAGGTGAGAGAACAGGGCTCCTCTGGCAAGCCCACAGACGCATGAGATATAACTTCTTTCTGCCTGCTGTATTTTGTTGTTTGTTACACAGAAAATGCTGAGATAAGAGCTAACGTTGATTGATCTCTTACTATGTCTCAGAAACTATTCAAGAACTTTACATTGATTAATTAATCGCCGCTCCAATTCCATGTGGTTGTTGCAGTCAGTATCCCCATTTTACTGCGAAGGACACTGGAGAGGTTAAGAATGTGTCCAATATGGCACAGCAAATGAGTGTGGAGTTAGGGTTCACATTCGTGCTGGAGGGGTCCAGAGTCACCCAAGGTACTGTCAGTAAATGTGCTACACATTCAATTTGTCCAGATGCAACATGGGTAGCTACAAATAATATGGACATTAAAAAAAATAGAAAAGTCATTATTACCTGGAATGGACAGGGACCTAGAGTAGGTGAGAACTAAACAAAACAGCTTTTCTGACAACTAGCCCCAAGGGAGGCAGCCACAACTCTGGGCAATCTCGGTCATCGCTGATGAGCTCATTGTTTAAAAATATTCAAAAAGTAGAGAACCAAGCGCAGGAATATAGGGAGAGAAATAACTCTAGCTTTTTTATTCAACCACTTACTCAGTCTCCACTAAGAAGAAGTAGCCAAATTGATTTGTCAGAATACAGGGCACTGGACTGGGCCGCTGTTATTGATAAGCTGGTTTACCCTTTTTAAAAGGCATTGCTTCTGAGCTGCCACCCTCCTTTTCTCACTCCCTCTGCTTCTCCACACAGGTGAGGGGTACGTGGACCCCCGGACACGTCAAGCATTTTCTTTCTCTCCTATTCTTCTATCTGCATGATGACCCCTTTCATTTATGATATCCTTCTTAGCCACTTAAGGTTTTCTGTTGTCCTTCCTCATCATTACTTTCCCTGTACAACAGTCACTCAGATGAGAATTTGGAAATCTTCTCAGGGTCTCCCATTTCTTTCATCCTCTGTATTGAAATGGTCACCACATCTTCTATGCAGCTCCCCCGAAATGTGCCTCAAACCCACTTTCCTCTAAAGCATGTTCACTAAATTTAATTTGTTCCATTTCTTTCACCTGCATGAGCACCATGGCTTCTTAAATGATCCTCCAACTGCTAGTTTCTTTTCTTTTCTTTCTTTTTAAGGGAGTAGGTTGAAATATTACTTTTTTGACTTATGGACTCATCAAGTCAATCTGAACCTCCAGAAAAAAAATGCATAAATGTGTGTACACACAAAACCGTGCATGCAAGTCAGGGGTCTGCGGCCCTCCGGAGCCAGTGCAGTGACCACAAAGAGCTGTGGGTCCTGTTAAAAACATTTGTTCATATAAGGCCATATATTTTTCAGCCCTCCTACCCAATAAGGCCATATATCTTTCAAAAATTCAGATCTAATGATGTCCTTCCTATAATTAAACCCTTTAGTGACCAACTGTCTCCCTCCAGATGAAACCCAAACATTTCAGTGTGGAATCCAAAGGCGCGTCACCATTAGTCACACTCACTGTCTTTCTCTTGGCTTCTTTTAAGCCCCAGCTGCCCCATGGGACTCAGTCGTGCCTAAAGCTCCCCCAGTGTGTCATCTGCCTCTAGCATCCTGCCCATCCCACCCCCCTGCTCCCAGCTCACTGTCCCCCACTTGCCCTCCTGGTGAACTCCCGACCCAGTTCTCCTGACCCTTCCCATCAGCACCCACCTCCCTCGGCATAAGCAACTCACCAAGGGCCCAGGAACTCTGAAAGCTAGAACCAGGCTGCTCGTATGGGTAAAGTCTGTTAGCTGGCATGGGGACCCACCGCCATCAGTTCTCAGCACCAGGGTCTGGAGAGGGAGGGAGGGAAGGAAGGAGGGAACACAACTATAACACACTCTGCCAAACAGACCTTACAGGGGATGGAGTAAGGGAAAGCCTTTACGGGGAGGAAGATAGCTAAGATATATTGGGCACGTTTTATGTGGATATTGCAAAGGTAATATTTCCTCCCCGCTGCCACTCAGTTCCTACAGCAGTTCCGTCTGCTCCTGTTTACAGCTGAGCCCGGTGCCCACAGGTCACGCACCTTGCACGTCTCTGGGCTGGGACGCAGTGGTGCTGGGGCCCTGCGTGAACCCAAAGCCCACTCTTTCCATCACACCCTTTAGTTTTGTTATCACAGGTACAATAAGGATTTGCCTTCCACTGATTTATGTATGATTTTCACATGGATCTTAAGGAGTCATGATTATAAAAATCCATAAATGCATACAGAAGTTTATGCCTGCTTTCCAAGATGCTGATTTTTACTTCTTCTTAGCAAAGCTAGCTCACTGAAAACGGAGTAGTTTTGAGCGGGTACCTGTGCGGTGTGTGGAGCTCTCCTTACTAACGTCAGGCTAGGCCTACATCTGGTAAAGTATTCTTAACTCACCCTTGTTAGTATTTGCTTTGGGCAGACACACAAAATCAAGTCCAAATTGGTGCTAATATAACATGTAAGGGAAGGGACGCCTGTTGCTTTCCATTTCTTTCCCAATAAACATCAACATGAAGAAACCAAGGTCTCTTAGTTCTAAATTATTAGTAGTTCATGGAAAATAAAGACCCAAGTAAAAGGTCCCAGCTGCCGAAACACAGAAGCAGCAGGTTAAGTGTGCACAACCACAGAAGTTCAAAGTCGAACAGTAGCTTTTGTACCTCACAGGATGCAGATGAGGGGTGGCTCTGGAATCCGTATTCAGTGCAAACTGGCAGCGCCTCTGAGTGAGGCTGCCTGCTGTGCAGAGTGCCCTCCTTCGTCCCCCTCCAGCCCCCTGGAGCCGCCTTCCCTCCCCTGGCCCCTCAGCTGCCAGCTGTGCTGCTGAGGTGGTGAGCTTGCCCCTTCCCAGAGAGGATGACAGAGCTGCCAACCCGGCGGATCCCAGGCTCCCAGGAGGGTGACTGGGCAGCGCATCTCGCTCTTTATGAGGAAGGGTTTATTTCTCAAATGCCCACGTTTAAATCAAGAACCAGTTCCCATTGAGGACAATAAATGTGTTTCTCTTCAGTCATTCTGTGCTCATATTTTTCATGGTTATAGTCAAAATGGCTTAGTTGCACATTTTGCTGACACCTTAAATGTTTTTAAAATACTTGATGACTCTCTTCTAGTAGCTATATAGGCCTGGACTCGAGCTTCCCCAGATCGTTAAAAACTAACAGGTCAATTACATTTTTTTCCCTGATAAAACAACAAAAAAATAATTACAAACAGCATCTCTA